TGTTGAAAGGCTTTGATTGAACTCGAAGTGCAACCACTGGCAGGCTGGCCAATCTGGTTAATATATAACAACACTTGACAAATCAAAGGCAGGTGCAAAAAATTGGGAGGTAGAGGTGATGTTGGTTTTAGCTGGGCCAAGAAATGAGCCCTGGATGAGCACAAGCGCATCAATCAGGCGAGCAATTATCATATTGGGAACATATTCTGCCAGTTGAGTGTTGCACGGCCGGTATCGGAAGATACCAATGGTAAGTATCTTCAGAGCCCTGAGGTACTGTCCTGAGTGCTCAGAATTCTGGTGGCAATCGCCAGCAAGGTAGCTCAATTGTTTAAACCGTTTACAAACTGTTTGAAAACCTTTTGACCCGGCAAATAAAATAGACATAGAAACGGTCAATACCGCTTGAAAACCTTTTCAAACGGAAATGGTTGGAACCTTAAATTGCAGGCAAACAAAAATACACCCGAGTTCTGTATCCGGCGGTGAAATGAAACAATCTCATAAAGAGGGTAACGAAGTGTTGCGCTTCGGCGCTATCTGTGCCGGGATCCTATAATTTATTTCTCTATGTAATTGCTCAAGCTTGATGCCACAATTTCGTTTGAAGAAATTCGGAAATGAGCCCAGACGGTGATGTCAACTTCTTTTGACCGCCACTGTAACTTATGGAGCTTCAAGACCACGGCCGCTAAGGAGTGCGGTATATTTTCTGCAGGAAGCTACAGCGTGCTACATAAAGGATGTCAAGCTAAGTAGGCTATATTGGAACGGCCGCTTGGCTTTTTTAAAATGAAAGTGCACGAAAGGGGGGGATGGGAGGCCGCGAAGCGGCCGACCAATCCCTTGTGTATATAAAGTAATCTGAACCTGTCAATTTGAAGGCATAATTTGAGCAGATGATCACCACCAACCGACCTATACCCTGTATACTGCCTCCGAAACTAAGTGACGCCGAGACCCACCATGCTTAACCACAATAACGTCGGTCCACGTTCACCGGACTGAACACCTCCGTGGCAACCACTATGGACTTTCTCAAAGATATCCGGATCCTGTATACTGTACAATTTCGTTCAAATCGGCAGTCACGCATCACGCACCCCCCTGTCGATCACGAACTTTGGTCGATGTCACGCGTCACTCGGGCCTCTGTCGAACCTCCAAGCGGTCACACAGGCCCCAAATTGCCTAAAAAAAAAAAAAGGCAAAAAAGGCAAAATTTCCGGTTCAAATGCCGAAATTTTCGAGGTGTCACGCAAAAAATTGGCGGCTGCCGAAATGTCGAATAGGTAAAATGGGTCACGTGTCACACCCCCTGTCGATTTGAACGAAATTGTACAGTAGCGAACGCTCACTCACCGACACGCAGAAGCTGGATCACGTCGAGTGCAGGTTCCGCCATAACTCCCCGGCAGACCTGTGGTGCCAGGCGGCCATCAACTCGCCACACACTTGCCACTAACCATCTACGCGCGCGTCGCGTCCCACTTAATCCACCCGACCGGCACGTCTTCGCCAACCTGCAACAGAGCCGATGGAGAGTTGATCCCTCTGTACATACTGCACATACCCCATTGTCAAATAATACAAACCTTGTACGGCGGTGGCGCTGCACGTCAAACTCACATGCACAGATCAACTTCCACGATCCAGAGATTGCTCGCCTCTTGCCAAAACTGCCCAAGTTCTATCCACCCGTCCTACTGACCCGATCTGGCCAGCCCACTGTAAGTCAATGTGCACCCATCCCGACAACCTGTATCCCACGCCAGTAAGTCAATGCCAGCACCATGTTGCCATCCTCGCTGTTTCCTGCAGCACGTCTTCATCCTGGTGATGAGACCGCTGCCGCAACCACTGTACCCGTTGAGCTCGTCTGACCTGTGTGTGATCCATGCCCATGGCCTTCCCAACCGACTTGCCCAGCCTGCTGCACACCCCCTGCAGTGCCGCATTGTACCTGTAGGAAATCAACATGAATGAATTTGAGAAGTAGTTTGAAGTCCACACATTGCAAGGAATCATGATTTTTGCCCTTTCAACCAGGAGAATCTCCTTCTGCAAGCCTTCTAGGTATATAAGTAGAGTAGCTGAGAGCATACCACCATTGGCCTTCTCACTCATGGCAGAGTCCATTTCATCGCTGCTACGAGCTTAGTCTGGTCCCAAGTGGTGTCGAGAAAATACGAAAATATAAGTAGACACGTACTGTTGCAAGGATACATGGAGCCGTTGTTGTCTGAAATCGAACCATGCATTCAAGAATGAGTAGGTGCCAGGGGAACCCAAGAGCGAGCAACACACCCAAGTTTATAGGATTGAGAACTGTCAAATCAGCCAGCGTCCTGACAAGGAATCATCACTGTAGTCATGAGCACCCAGGGATCCATAGACAGGTGTTGGCGGCATCTTGGGACGAAGCAAAGGCCGCAACTGACGCGGATGCGGCGAGGGCGGCGGCGATGATGCTGGCGTCGACGTCGGCAGATGTGGAGGTCTTCTGTGAATTGTATATGGGAGGGATGGCGGTTCAAACCCGCCTGAGGACATAGATAGTTTCTGTTCCTCTTTTTTTTCTCATGTGCGCACCGCAAACTAAGGCATACCACGAGTGCGAGTAACCCGTGGATCCCTACGGGTTTACTCGTGGGAAACCCGTGGGTATGTATACTCGTGGATCCGAGTACTCGTTCCCATGGGTATGCCACAGATCTGAGTTTCACTTTTTCAACTTACTATACTCATGTGAGTACCCACGAGTCAAATGCTGGTGCTTATTGCACTTGATTTTATGGCTTTCTAAGCCCACTTGCCACTTGTCTTCTGATACATCGCGCTCACCTCTTGCTGAAAACCCTCGCCAACGCATGTATTCATGTTTCGGCTTGTGCCCTTTGTGCGGATGTCATTGACGGCATGACTTAGTGAATGTTGCTTGAGGAAGTTGAAGTCCTTCCCGAGCTCACGGCTGACCACCTGGTCCAATTTAATCACCTAGAATAGAATTACAGGGAAACCACACACCTGACAGATCTCTCTGTACTCATAGATCAGCTCGCACGTCCGGTCAAGCCGTGACTTAGTCATGACTTCGAGGCCAACCATCATGCGTGTCTTTTGCATGACGCGGACTGTGCGAACAAGACATGAGTTGGCTGGCAACAGTTGTACAAGGCACGGGAGGGCACACTGGACAAATCCATTGATCCTGAGTAGGAGTGTTTATCCTGAATCAAACTCACCTTCAATATTGTCCAGAATGTCTCGCCATCGGAAAAGTCAATTGTTGTGGGAGAGTCAAGGTGCGCGAGACCAGGCCACCGAGGGAATTGACTCATACTAAAGGACCGATTCAGTCAACCAGGGAATGGGAGTGAGTAATTACACACTTGTTGTTAAATGCCGATGCCAAACCATGTTCCTGGAGATATTCTTTCAGAAGGGGCCATACATGACTGCCGCGGGGCTGCCTGATAGTCCTGTGAAAGGATGACAGGAAATGGGGTATTGGGAGCATAACCCTCAAATGAATTTCGCGGTTGCTTTGCTGCGCGAGGTTCTTCGGTGGCCGGCACTGGCTTCCGTTTGAGGTTAAGTACGAGGGTATATTCTTGATATTCAGTGTTGTTAAGTGCACGGTCCGGTGATATTCCAGCGCAGATGGCTTCAGAGCTCTTGATGAGACAAGCTTGTGTGCACCGGTGAGACAAGAAATCCGCTCACAAGGTTGCAACATCTTTCAATTTTCGGTGTTCAGCACGCTTTGACATACCAATGTGACAGCTAACCATAGCCCTCAGGGAAGTGAGATTGGATTTGGCATTGACAACTAGGAAGTCAATGACAGCCTTTTTGTCCGCCAAACCAAGTTGTACAAACAAATCTTCAGTGGACGTTGAATGCGCTGATGAGCCGTCATGATACGTTGGACAAGCTGTGAGACCAGCACCATTGTACGTTGAGCCAGCTGTTGAAACAGCACCGTTGTACATTGGACCAGCTGTCAAAGCAGCAGTATGTTCATGCAATAACAATCTTTCTAATTGGTGCCGTTCATCAAACAATTTCTTTTCAAATAGGTGGCGTTCAGCGAACGGTTGTTGTACATTGGACAGGTTGAACGAATGAACGGGATGAACAGCATGAACATTAGACGGATGAACAGAGATCTCTGCTGACGCTGGAGAATTGCGCACTAAGAGCTCAATGATCAGTAAGGCATAATGATGATTGAGAGATTCATACCAGCTGCATTCACAATAGGGATAGGGTTGTCCGACCCGTCCGTGGGGACCACTCCTTCTCGTACGGCGTGAGATGGGATGTACATGGCAGAGAACCTGGGCGCACCAGATCGACGGGCAGCGAGGAGGAAACAGGGAGTAGGATTAGCATAGAGAAAGTGGAGCAGTGCTTGACACTGGGGATAGTAAGAATGCCTGAGGCACCGGCGTGGGTAGTTTTTATTCCGGTTTGGAGCACCCAATCCAATGACAGCCTAGAGGTCTCTTCATTGGCGTCGAACATTGTGGAAAGCGGGAGGTCGTCGAGTGTTGCAGACATGGTGGGGGAAGACAAAGTGTGGATGGATTGAATTGGGAATTCGGAATCGTTACACCGGACACGGAGAATTATTTGATAGCCTAATTGGTGTCCGATCGACACTGTATTCTGTATTTCCTTATTCCTGGTCTCGATCGACTAGTGTTTTCCGGGTTGGGCCGGGCCTGAAAGCCCGGGGCTTGGGCCGGGCTTGGGTGGGCCCGGGTCGGAGAGAACCTCAGGCCCGACCCAATTGTCTACCAAATCAAGGATTCCAGAAGCCGCTGACCCAGTCCCAGGCAATTTCAGCTGAATAGATAGGTGTGAGATTGCACTAGGCTGCGAGCCTGTAGCACCTTATGCGGATAATGTTGTGTCATCTTTCAAATATATCAGTAATAACAGACCTGATTTGGCAGAAATGGGTTGTCAGGAAAGTGTTAAATGCAAAAGAATGGCTGAACTGGGTTTGAACCCGAGTCCTTCTCATTAGCTTGAGATGCTCTTTATCCAACTGAGCTATTCTGCCAATAGTGCGAAGGGAACTCCCCAGGGGGCGACCACTCGGTCACCAGGATAAAATTCCCTGTGTTCACGGGGGTCTCGACCGTGGTGCCGTCGAGGGCAGGGATGAGGATATGGTCGTCGGTGGTGCCGTCCTCCTTCCAGATTAACTTCTTCAACTGGTCGGCAATATCTCCAACATCCTGCTTTTTGAAGAGGGGAACACCGGTTTTGTACAGTGACAGGGCCAGCGACTCTGCTTTTTCTGACATCGGTTGTGGGGGATATAAGTACATAGTGCCATCCCGTTATATAATATGCTGAGGCTCTGAAAAGGAAACTCAGCACCCACACCCAAACTGTGGATTCCACTATGATATCGGTGATACTTACCGGCACGGCTGATTTATTCCCACTCGTAAAGCGCTCTTCGCACGTCCAATTGACAAAAAAATGCCAAATATGAACAGCACGAGTTCGGTGATTTTTGCCATATTTTTCGCTACATGTGGGCATCTATCTATACGCTATGTTTTCGAAAAATTTCACAGAGGTTTTTTTAACGAGGAGAGTGCTTGTGAGTCACTTTGATTTGCTGCCTGATTTTTGGCAGATGGTCCAGCTTGCTTCTCTATGCGCCTTGGCTTTGAGCGGTCAAGCCTGGTGCAATCAATGCACGGTTCCCCCTCGAGGCCTTTGACTTCAGAAAACTGCTGCTGAAACCAGGACGCGGAGGCGAAAACATTGGCATGGCTAGGAGGACAGCGAACAAGATCTCCAATCCTTGCTGGCTTCAGCTTTGGCCTAGTCTCCTCGTGGACAGACACTCTGTATCTTCGCTCGCACCTCGCGATATTCCATTGGATCGAGCAGGGTGTTGAGATCCCGATAAACACGTCTTTTTGCCAGCTCAAGAAGACCCTATTATCGGAAACTGCCTACTCGGCCACCTTAGCACTTTTGGCCTAAAGCCCACATGATGAGTATATTTTGCTTGAATTTACAATGCAACCTCATTGCTCTTTGAATTTATTTTCGGCGACATCCCCGAAAAGGCAATAAATGGCCTAGTCGGCCACCCAGCCAAATCGTCAGTTTGCACCACTTCTATCCACCCCGCTGCATTCCAAATGGTTCAAGAGATGCAAATGAATGATTCCACACACTTAAACCGTACATCTGAAGTGTATGGATAATGATACCAGTTCCCTTCCAAGCCGAGTAGGGTCGGCGAAAGGGCAGTGAGAACACAATGGCGTGCCCTGCGACGTATAGAGCGCATTGAAGGCCCAAATTAAGTTCCAGATGATTTCATAAGAGGTTTTTAAACATACAAAGTCGCATACAATGTTTCCCACCTAACCGCAACCCCCTCCAAAAAAGTTCTGCTTGATGTGCAACTGAAATCCGATGGTTTGGGGCTGTAGCCCACCGCGATCGGGAACCTGTAAAGTAATGACCCTATAAACTTGGGATACCACAATTTCAGCTATACTAAATGTACCAAGAAAATTCTGGGTCCGCAGCAAATACGGCTGATTCGCTAGAGAGGTGGCCGCTCTGTGTCACTCAGAATCTGCTTGAGGTCTTGATAGAGCGCTGTGAGGGCGGAACAGATCGTATGTGGCGCATTTTTTACAAAGGTATCATCCCCACGAATCTAGGGATGATTTCGAGCCTATAAGCTTGCGAATCGGTGGGGAATTGGGGAAGAAACAAGGAAGAAATGAGCGCGAGGGCTGTCCGGAAATAAGAAATGATGTTCACACGCCAGCATCTGGATTCAAAACACCAATCCTCGAGATTTTCAACTACACGGCCTTATATTATGCAAATGGCCGACTAGCTAGTGTGGCCGACTAGGCAGTCGCTGATAATATGTTACTGCGAAATTCATTCCGCTTGCGGGCAGCCTGCAACAAGCTCGTCAACTGAGAAGGGCGGAGGTTTTCCCCCGTCCGCTCATTGACGTAGTTCACAACCAAAGCCGTAAAACCCCGGGTGGTCGAAGGCCTGGTCCATGGAGGTGAGCAGCCAGACAAGATCACACTTGTGATGACTTGACTTCCACGATGGCCTGCTGAAGAAGTGAGACTGTCTTGCACCCCATGAAAGGTAGAGGGGGTTGGGTGGGAGTGGTACCCTCATTCATTCTTCGTCAATTGACATGGAAAAATGTCTCACAGCAATAATCGAACATCTTTTTGATCAGGGTGTGACTCATTTCGAAGTCTACGGCCGTACTAAGGTAGACGACTGCCACATGCCGCCAACGTATGTCACACTTTGTCACGCGTCCAAATCGGGAGAAATGTGCTATTTAAATCGACACTAAATGTCCGTAGACCCTGGCACAACATTTATGCAAAATCTGGCTCCCATAAATTGAAGGGATACATCTCATATGTCTTGAGAAAAATGATTGACCCAACAGGTTTAGAACTGAGGGACTAGATTCAGGTTTAGTGCTCAAAACAACGAAAATTCTATCTAGATATTTGGGATGTAATGTCTTGCCAAACCAAGTATATAGGAAGTTTGCTACATAATCTAGGCTCAAATCAGGGAGAGCTGATTGTCTAAATCATGGCCCGATAATTATCTGAGGCATTTTCTTTCCAATTTTATCCATTTTGGGCGAAGTCACAGTGATTACGTAAACGTTTGCCGTCTGTGGCTGTTCATCTACCTTATATTAGTTACACTTCATTCTTTGTCGTTTTTCCTTCCGGCCTGATCGTGGGGTTTCACAAGCCAAATCTTCGGGTCCATCGCTGCAGGCCGCGTATGGTGCCGACCACCTAGCTGCCACTACTCTGTGCTTGAGATTGCTCGGGATTTTTTCGGTCCGAGTCAGTGTTCTCCCTAAGCCTTAGGGCTTAACTTGGCTTAAGGCTTAATAAGCCCGTAACTTAAGGCCTTCCTCATGGGTCCGAACACTCTTAAGCCTTAACAAGCGGTTGCCGGCGCTTCGCGTGGGCTCCCACTTGCTTACTTTATTTCCTGCCAGTGACAAAGATACAATAATTCCTTTAGCTTGGCCGGATTCCACTTTCTGTCCAAGACCTTTTGGAGAGCAGTCTGAGAAAGTTGTTTTGAATGTTCCACAATCTGCAGACCCAGAAATGTCGTAAAGCTGAAGTAAACTACAACTCTAACTGGAACTCTAGTGAATACATGCGAAGCTGAGGAGAATAAACAGTATGAAGTAAATAAGTTCCAAAAGAATTGATCCGCAAAAATCCACATTTCATCTATTGAGCCAGCCATCAAGCACTTCTCCAGAGTCCGCAGCTCGGCATGCAAGCGGAGCTGAATATAATGATTGCTTTCTACATGCCGGTTGGATGGCGCTAACAGCTCTGCCGTGCTTTGGTCATGCTGCGCAATATAACCATACGGAGATACAGCTTCAGACGGACAGAAGGCTCGATTTTATAAAAAGGGTGATTAAGGGTAGTCACATGAGAAGCTCATCATTGATGCGATCAATTCTAAGTTTTTTCGAGACACATCGTCGAGCACTGATCCGGTCTCCCAAATGCCTCCCAAGGAAGGCCCGCTGTGGCAGACCGTGCCGGTTTCGAAAAGATACATGTGAGGGTTTCATCTTGAGTTCCTTCTGTGTCGGAAACTGATCAAATGTTCGTTCACAGGGACAGGACCGATCCTCGTGTGGGAGAATATGTGAGGCGATCCTGACGTTCGGGAGCTGGCCGACTTTGCCATTTTATGTCTAGGTGTTGCCGTCAATCAGGTGGGGAACGAGCGTGATTTCTCCGACTTCAAAATAAAGAAAACTCGACTGCGCAATCGCTTTACGTTCAAGAAAACGGAAAAGATGTCGAAGGTAAGCTGACTTTTTTGTTTCTTGTTACATTGGCCTTATTTCTCTGTAGGTCGGTGCCGCAATTCGAGCTGAGCACACTGCCGCGGGCTTCATCGACCCCCGTGAGAAACGGAAGAACCATGACGACACTCGGGTTGCCAGTCTCATTGCGGTACTGCAGTACGCCGACATCGTCGAAAACGATGACGAATCCGAGGACGAAGCGATCAGCTCTCGCGGTTTGGTGAACTCATGGAGTGCTTGGCGTAAGCTTCATGTCAAATGGATGGTCGACGCGCGGCAGGCGGAAATGGAGATGGAGATGGACGATGAGTCAGGATCCACTGACGTCGTTGAGCCCCCAACTGTGCCAGGTGCGCGGAAGTGGCTTCCATGCACTCTGGAACGACTTTTCGGAGGGGAAATTGCCAATCCACTGCGCCGAGCGCTGCGAAAGGCCTTCACTTGGGAGGAACTATTGATGGAACTGCTTGCAGCTGAGCACTCCGATGAAGAACCGGATGATGGTGAACTGGAAGGTTCTGGTGACGATTTCATAGAGGGTGATTGACATTAGAGGTACTTTTCCGTTGTACCGCTGAAATGAGCGAGATTTTTTTTCCTTAAGGCCTTAATTTGCCTTTAATAACAAGCCCTTAATAAGCTTTAAGGCCTTAATGATAAACCGCACCCTTAATAAGCGCTTAAGGGAGAACACTGGTCCGAATTACCTCTAATGCTTGTCCCTCTTACAAAAGTGTTTCTTCTGACATCCCGCACAGGTCTGTAAGACAGATTTTCATTTGGATAAAAATTGAGTGAGGTAAAAAAATCTTGTCTTCAATTTGGCCACTGGCGGGGAAATAATGGAAAACGTCGCTGATTGTGGCTGTGTATAGGGCCAAAATTTTCTCCGATTTGGCCACTAATCTTTGGTGGCGGCAGCTATGTGACCGGCACCATAGGTCATTGGAAACACCTGATCTTCCCCTCATTTTGTACATGCGGCCAATTCAATCTAGGGAAATTCAAATTATAAGACTCATTGTAGGGTCTCTGAAAAGTAGTGATATCTTACTTTTGCGCCATTCAGCGCGGGGCTCTGGGGGTTTTTATAGTCTCTCGTAGACAGACACTGTGTGTGCCATGTGAAGTCCTTCTCACGCTGCGGAGCAACATGTGTGTACTTGGATGTG